CGATAAGGAGCAAACGCCCCGCTCTCCTTCCTTTTCGTTTTCGCGCTCTCCTCTAAAAGTATTAGTCTGTTCTCTCACCTTCGCGGAACAGGCGCCATTTGGAGCCTAACACCTTGTTCTTGTGGCGTGCCGTGGATATTGTCCGGGCGAATCGGCCGGGAGTCGGTCAAAGAGGGCCAAACAGAGGAGCGTAACTGGGTCATCAGGGTGGTAAATTATTTCCCGTATTGGTTCGTTTTATAATGATGACAACGCCGAACATCCATCTAGTTCCTGCAATCTTGTCTCCTACGTAGCCTAGTGGGAGCTGGGGCTCGTGGGTAGGGGCTACTTACCCCTACCTGGATAGATCGACGCGTGATGGACTTCATAATGTCGTTTACTTTGCACGCACAATCCTTGGCTAGCCACACCACCACTGGTCTCCCAGACGCACTGACGCTAGGAACTCCTGTTCGCCGTGTGTTTCTAGCGACACGGCACGGCCCTTTGTCGTGCCATGTGCTGGCTGTTGCTCATGGCCTCTCATATACGTGGGTAAAGCCGGAGATATAGAGAGACCGGGGCTTCTAGCGCCCGTGTCTCCGGCGGGGGGAAACAAGAAAAGGGTTTTAGGGTTGATGTTTCTTCCCTGCATGACACACCCATACCCACAATACCGTGCCGCGGTCTTTGGCAGTACCTACCACATATTTATTTCCTTGCTTTTCCTTGTCCTTATGAAAAGTAAACAAATATATATAATGACCCTGAAACAGCTCACGTTTGATTTGCTACAACCCTCTTGATCTTTTCATCTCGATGTCGCAAAGTTGTGTTCACAAAGGACGTTCGCGACCTCGGTTGTAAATCAGAAGTCTTGTGTTGATATTTACCCTCAATTTCTTTGCAGTGTGCATTGCAAGGGCCTGCCGCTGGCGCTTGGTACAATATTTCCCGCAGCGCAGAGCAGAGCATGTGTGCGCCTCTCGGCCAAAAACTTTTCTGTAAATAATGAATGAGATGGAAGAGAGGCGCCTCTTTTGTCTCCTCGTTCGTAATTCGTAACGGCCATTAATCTTGCAAAGACGAAGGTACGCAGCAGACTGTTGCTGCTCGCTGGTGTTGGCGTTGCTGGCAGCGCTGCGCCGCGTGACCGTCGAAGCACGCGCCTGGAACAGAACGGAATGTATATGGCGCTCGAACCGAATCCAGTTATATTCTTTTTTTGCATCACATCCGCTACAAGAGTCAAAATACAGTCTTTGTTTCAATGTAGACAAAGGTCCACGCATTAGACACTGCCAGGATGCACTATGCAACTGTGCCCTCTCTAGCGTTTTCCAGAGGAGAACTTGAATGGCGAACTCGTGGTCCTACCCTACTCCCACTAGTATCTCTCTGTCTCACACACACGCGCGCGCGCGCGCACGCACGCAGACTTAGAACAAACTTTGCCCGTCCGGACGGTGTCAACGGCTCATGAAGAATTATTGGCGTTTTACTCAGTTTGCAGCCGCCCATTCTTTCCCCTCGTGGTTACGGAAGATTTCTCGCCCCTCGCGGCCGCTGCGAGCGTGACCGCCTCAATACTTTATCGTCTTCCCCCTTCTGATTCCGCCCAGTCTCTATTTCGTCGACAGATGTCACCATCCCTTTTTCGGTCCCAAGTGTGTGGACTTCTGCCAGTATGTATGCGTGAATGCGGTTTTATTGGTTTGTTTCAATGTTTCGATGCTATGTTTGATGACGACAGTGCGACACTCGGCGGTACTTGGTTATGGCCGAAAAGGAGTGTTGACGAAGGCAAATTTCTTGCTGAATAAAAAGTCATGAGCTAAAGAAAGGGGAGGAAGTGAAAACCTTTCAGGATCCTCCCTTTCCCTTGAGCAGCCAAAGCGCTCGCTCTGCGATTCACTGCTTCCCGATGAGTTC